TGGGTTAGCCTGGTGATGGGTATTAAAGAGGGCACGTTCTGCATGGAGCACTGGGTGTTATGCGCAAACAATGAATCATGGAACACTGCATCAAAAACTAATGATGTAATGTATGGGGATTAACATAATAAAATAAAAATTTAAAAAAAGAATCTACAAAAGAAACACGTCTTATGTAAGGAGGCTAGAATGCCCTTGAGTGGGCAAGACTCAGGCTCACTTTGACGCACCCAGGCCGTGAGCACAGCACCTAGCGCATGGCAGGCGGTCCCTACCATCGGCTCGGTTCTCTTGCCTTTACAAAGGCCTTGTTTTTGATATCACTTAATCCCCACCATAATGCTCCAAGCTCGAGAAGGTGGCTACTAACAGTGAGAGACACCAGGACTGGAAGCGCGACCTGATTTCGAAGGCAGGGCAGTGTTCCCACCATGGTTCCCCTTTCAGCTGTGAGGATCACACAGGGGCTGAAAAGACGGGCGCTGGCATCAGGCCTCAGGAACCTAAGAGTCATCTTTACCAACACTGGGCCACGGCAGCACGGGAAAGAAATCATGCCCATCTAAAAGGATCAGGATTTCAACTACCCAAAGGTGCTGCTTCTCCACTTCAAGAATTGAAAAGGTTCTGCCATTCTAACAGTCAAAAGAGAGGTTCTTCTTGCTGGACCACTTGAGTCATCTTTGTGTTCATGCCCTCAAGAGAACACTCAAGACTCAGAGTCCTGCCTATGACGCAACTACTGAGAAAAGCCCAAAACAATTCCATTGCCAACATTCACTTCAGGCATGTGTAAACATTTCCTGTAAGATGTAGTTTATACAATGCTGAACATCCCTGTTGTAACTATCAGCCAAAGGCTGAGCACTTCTTACACCAGACTGAGATCTCCCATAATTCTTTATATCACGGAATATAAAACATAGCAATCATATTAACATAAGTTAGAGAATATCTTTTGTGATGCTTGGCCCAGGAACTTCCTCTGGCCAACGAAATGGGAAGGGCAGGGGCATGCTATCACAGAAGAGATTAGGAGGCATCAAGTGGATCCACTGGTATTCTCCCTCCATCCCAAGAACAGCAAGGTCCCAGACAGAAGCTGCTCCTTTAGCTGGGATCCTGAAATTAGGAAGACACTGAGAGCAGAGACACAGTTGACTGGAGGCTAAAAGGCCACAAAAGCATGCAATAATTCTTTACTATTGTCAGCCATTGAGATCTGTTTGTTAACCCAGCATAACCCAGCATAAGGTGACTTATAAGAGAAACAAGCTACTCTATCCTTTTGGTCTTACTTCTTATGGAATTCTGAGCTAGCCATAAAATTAGGAGGAATCACTCTTTCATAGACAAGATACTCTGATGTCATACCCTCCCAGGTTTATTTATTCCCCTACTTTTTCTTACTCATGTAAAAAAATACGCAGGGCAGAACAAAAACTAACAAAGGAGAAACAGTAGTGTGTGCGATGCAAGCTGGAAGCAGGATCTGAAAAGCTAAACTAGGGGGTAGCAGTGGCCAGGGAAGAACACAAATTGCAGGTGGTCTAGAAAGTTCACAGGTAGGTCGCAGAAAAAAAGCAGTAGAAAAAAATCAGCCAAAAGCTAAGCCGTTTCACATAGATCAACTTTTCCCCTTAACCAAACGAAATCTGGCTCTTCAGCCAAGTATGACAAATGATTTTCCAAGATACAAACTTTCTGTCCTGCTGGACTTCACCAGCGCTTGCTGCAATGACAAAATAAACAGACACACTGGACCTCTTTATCTTTTTGTTAGAACTCAAAAACTCCTGTTCTGAATTTAATAAATTCAGCAGTAAGAGATCAATACAGGAAAACTGATCCGCACGAACACACATTGCTGTAAAAGTCTTTACAAAATAAGTTTATAAACTAAGATTATATCTTAATCCCACAAAAAATAGGAATTTATTTGACCAATCTCGAAGACACACCTGTCCCCTCTCCCACTCCCCTCCAGGAAGAGTGTATGTCAAACAACAAAAAAGATCCAATGAACAAAGTACCTTCTTTGCAGAGGAAATATTCTAAATCCTTTAGGAGCTACAGAAGATAAAATGGGAGTCCTTACATGTACAGAATTGAGCAGAAAAAGTGTAGATAAATCAAAAGTTATAAGGTAAAAATATTAAGTAACGGATAGAAAAAAAACAGAAACAGTACCAACATGGGTCTGTGGACCCTGACAATGAAGTATCTTACAAAAATCTGGCAAACAGGGCCTGAACTATACACCCTCTGGCTAAATACCACAATGTCAAAATTTGTGCTTGCCACAAGAAGCAGATTGGATTAAAGACGGTGGATATGTCTTTAAACAAGGAACATCCAAAGATTCTGTGTCCCTTCCATAAAGATAAGCTACATATCTACCCTGAGGGAGAAGAGTATAATTAAATGTCCTGCTTAAGTGTTCTTTGTCTAGAAAACCGGGGTGTATAACCTTTTGGTTATGCATGTCTCCATAAACAAATTGGGGGAAATTTGTCTCTCTCTATCCCTTAATAAAAGGTAGAAAAACTGTCATTAGGAAGTCCTTGTGGGCCAACAATTTTATCCCAACAGATTATTAGTTTATAATCTATAAACTAAGATTATATCTTAATCCCACAAAAAATAGGAATTTATTCAACCAATTTCAAAGACACATCTGTCCCCTCCCCCACCCCCCTCCAAGAAGAGTCTACAACAAAAAAGATCCAATGAACAAAGTACCTTCTTTGCAAAGGAAATATTGTATTTCCTGTGCAATAAATAGAATATTGCACAGGAACAATTAGAGACTAATAAATATTAGGCCCTATCGTCTGTCCTACCTACCTACCCTGCACTGAGCACTCATTCAATTATTGCCCACAAAGGCTTGGTGGCAGACAAATCCACTCCTGCATGCACCCCATCATACCAGGCCAAAACATTTAAATTACTAAAACCTCCCACCTTGTGATCCTTCAATACAGCATCTTCCAACCGATGATCCATAATAAAATTCATGCAACTGTCCCTTCAACGAAAACTTTTAACAATTTGTTGGAAAAAGCTCCCATATAAAAAATTTTGATTAAAGAGGTTTAAAAAGAAAAAAATAAAAATACTCTGGATTCCCTGACTCCAAACTTCTAGTCCTCAAAATGCACTTCTTATTCTCATCAATATATTTATACTTAAAGGGATTCATCTTGAACCAGCCTTCTGTCTCAAAAAATTACAGCTCACAGTTTTCCAAATTCAAGAATTTCCTTTTATACAATGAATGCCTGACCATCTTTATCAATTCTGTTTGGCTGCAAATTCTGTAACTAGTCTACTCTAAAAAAGTAAGTTAGAGAGTCAGCCTCAAGGAGGAAAAGTTTTGCTGGCAGAAGAAATAATTAGTGATGAAATTTGACCTTGACAAACTATTTGACATAAAGACAAAGTTGACTGACTTGTGACGACAGTACTTTCCATACAAGCTACTCATTAAAAAGAAAAATGTATTGGGGCGTCTGGGTGGCTCAGTCGTTAAACGTCTGCCTTCGGCTCAGGTCATGATCCCGGGGTTCTGGGATCAAGCCCCGCATCGGGCTCCCTGCTTGGCGGGAAGCCTGGTTCTCCCTCTCGAACTCTCTCTGCTTGTGTTCCTGCTCTCACTATCTCTCTCAAATAAATAAATAAAATAAATAAAAATCTTAAAAAAAAAAAGAAAAGAAAAATGTATCAACTTACCAACAACGGATGCACCTCTTTCTGCAAAAGCCAGGGCATAGGCTCGGCCCAGTCCTAATAAAAAACAAAAGCATCAAGAAAGTTGAGCAAATGTTAGCACTTTGGGGGTTCCATTTAAATCAACCCCTATTTTAAAGTAACTGGCGAGCAATTAAGTGTATTACAGTGACAGAGCCTTCCCTGGTACTCTCCCCATCTAACTCACCCCCTTCTACTTACAGAGGTCAGAAGGCTTAAAACTGTATTTTCCACCTATACTGCCTATCATTTCCTACCCCCCTACCTAGCTGCTAGGAAGCTCCAAGGGAACTGGGCTCCACCATTATAGGCATTTGCACATCTGGAAGGTGGAAATGAGGCAGAAGTTAGCTTATGGTGACTTCAGGCTGTTGCCATTGGTTAAGAAGCTGCTTTCCTTAAGTCAATCAGAGAAAGACATGTATCATATGACCTCACTGATATGAGGAATTCTTAATCTCAGGAAACAAACTGAGGGTTCTAGACGGGAGGGGGGTGG